TGAAGGTAACCCAGTGGAGAATGAAAACCTGTTAGGAGAAGCAGTCTAGCATGAGCCCTGAGAACCCCTGCATGTTCTTGCTTCATGTGAATATAAGACCCTGACCACTTCCTGGGTCATATCTTAGTGTTCTTCTAGCAATAAGCAATCTTGAGAATTGAAATAATGTCTCTTCCCTACTTTGCACTTTTATAAAAATGTTGAATCTCCCAAGCTCAGGATCCTTTTCCTATCACACATCCCCCTGAATATGTAGGCATCCATGTAGACCTATCCCAAGTCACTTTTGTTGGGGAGGGGAGCTTGGAAAACTAGCACAAACATGCTCACGTTGCTTCCTGTAAGTGTAAAACTTCTTTGTCTTTGGTCTGGAAGTCTCATATCTTCTACCAGTATCCATGATAAAATAGTAGACTAACCTGTTAGTTGCAAGTAGGATAAAATTGTAGCCCTTTCATAGACTACTCTGACAGTTTGGGTAACAAGGATGGGATCCAGGTAGACATGGCTTTCTAAAAGAGCAAGGTCATGGGTCAGGTGAGGGGATGTTAGAAAATAACCTGGGGTCTGGCAGTAAATGCTGCTGAGTGCGTAGGTGAGGATCCTTCACTGTCCCACCTGTTAATATTTTGAGGCTAAACAGCAAGAGGTAGGATTGAAACACATTGCCCAAATGGTACTTAGGTTGTTGTTCACTCTTTTCTGGATAGGAGGAGGAAAGGATGTTTTCACAAGGCAGCAAACCTGTGGCCCCAGCTAAAGGCTCTCTGGCTGTGACTGATGAGTAGAGGGTTCCCTGAAGGTGAAATAAATGGTGTCAGCAATAAAGATACAGAGTTTGAAAGGACCACATATATTAGGAGTTTGTTGTGTCCAAGCAGGTAGCCATTTGAAATAAAAGTAAATACATGACCTTGTTTACTAGCATAAGGCCAATCTCCCTCTACAACCCCTGATCCTTTTCTCCCTCTGTTTCAAGGAAAGAAGCTATTTATGCTGGGGATCTTTGAGGACGAGAGGGACTCCCTTTTTACAGCTCTGTTGAATATAAGCATCTAAGTCACCATCCTGTTTGGTCCCCTGGGCACAGGAAGCCCCGGTCACAGGGATGGTCAGAAGTACCAAGGACTGTGGGGCAGATCCATGGTAGTATGCAAGGTGGGCAAACAAAACAAAAATGGCAGCCGCTGAACCCTAGGTGCTCGTCAAGACCAAGAGGCACACAAGTGAAGAAGCAGCACTGACCCTGAAGCAGGAGTCAGAGAAGAGACCTTCCCGCTGACCCAGCTGCCCCCTGCAGGCTAGCCTCTCCTACTCCCATGATGTCCTCAAACTCTTGTCTGTAATAGAGCATGATCTCTTGGTGGCTGTGGCTATGCTTTCCAATATCGGTCTCAGATTGCTTGGTCTGAGTGCCCATAGTGGGGGGCGGGGCTGGGAGGAGAGCCTGAATTCACCTGGCAGGGTTTGGACAAAGTCTGTGGTAGGAAAGGAAAATTAAAATAACTGTAGGGGAGCTTCTAAACTCGTTCGATGTTACTGTTGTATGGCTTTCACAGTAATGTTATTGACAGCAATTATACATTCAATTGAAGTGTGAAAGCTTCTAAGTCTCCCATTCAGGGACTACTGCATATAGAGAAGTGGTTCCTATTTCCTCTTGAGTAATTTAACAAAATACAGAATCCTAAGAGGTGAGAAAGGAAATCAACAGCTTTAGGTGAGAACTTGATGACCGGTGGAGTAGTGGGCCCATCTCCTAGTATAGTAGTGCCACATATCCTTTGCAGGCACCAAGTACACCCTTTTAAAAAGTTGGACAGCCAGGAGGCTACTACTGAGCTATTGTTTAAAATTTTTTTATGTTGTTTTTTTAAAATTTATTTTTGAGAGAGAGAGAGAGACAGCACAAACAGGTGAGGGTCAGAGAGAGAGGGAGACACAGAATCTGAAAAGAGCCTCCAGGCTCTGAGCTGGTTGTCAGCACAGAGCCTGATGCAAGGGCTTGAACCCATGAACCATGAGATCATGACCTGAGCCAAAGCTGGACACTTAAACGACTGAGCCACCCAGGTGCCCCTGAGCTATTGTTGAAACAATGTTGAAAACCACTCAACAGAAGGCTGATAATCAAGGTATTGGATTGACTTTCACTCCTCCATCCACAGACATCGAGTATTGTTGAATGTTGGGACAGCCTACTCAGTAAACAGCATATAGGCAAAAGATTTCTGACTACTTCACTTATCTTGTCCTGGTCAATACACCTTTGTAAAGCAGTTTGGCGACTGAATGTTGCTGTCCCCAGAAAGCGGTCACTTACTCTTTACTGCAGCATTAAGATTCTCCATAAAAGAAGAACCAATATGTTCGTGAATATATAAAGAGATGTGCTATAAGAAAATGGGTAACATGATTATGGAGGCTGAAAAGTTCCATGATCTGCTGTCTGCAAGCTGGAGACTCGGGACAGCCAGTGGTGTAGTTCCAATCTGAATCCAAAGGCCTAAGGACCCAGAGAACTGATAGTATAAATTCCAGTTCAGGAGCGGGAAAGGACCCATGTCCTGGCTTGAAGAGGCAGACAGAGCGAATTCTCCCTTACCCCAACTTTGTCCTATTCAGATCTCCAATAGATTAGATGAACCCCACCTTTTTTTCACAGGGCAGTTTGCTTTACTGAATCTACAGAGTCAAATAGTAATCTGATCAAGGAGCACCCTCAGACATACCTAGAGTGATGCTTAATCAAATATCTGGGGACCCCCTGTCCCAGTCAAATTGACACATAAAATTAACTCTCATTGCTGCTTATGGGGTAGTGATCAAAATGAGAGGGATTGGAGAGTGTCATATAGATTTATTCTGAAAAGTCTGTATTCAGCCCTGACCATTGTTAGGCATGATGTTATCTTTGCCCTAACAGCATCCCCAGGCCAACCTGGTTGCTACAACTTCCAGATGGCAGCCTAGCCACATTGAACTCTGGTTCTCATTGAATTCTGTTTCAGGCACCTGGATTCTCCCATTGGTTTCACATGGTCCTAGATCATGACATTTGGAAAAAGAGTCACCCCTGGAGCCTTTCAATGGAAAGTGGCCTAGTACAATTCTACCAAGCTGTTGCAAACTCCTTAACTTTGACTGACTACTGGGTTTGACATCCCCTACTAGATGGCTCTGACTACAATTTGATAGACTTCTCAGTAGGTTAAAGGGAATGACTATCAGAAACATCAGGTGCACTTGCAGCTCCTATTCCTCTCCGTAAAACACACAACCTCTGCATGTCTCCTTCACCCTCATTCTTGTAGCAATTGCTCTGTTTTCTTGTGTGGACGTATGGGACAGTTTGGGCCAACTCCCATCAGACCGTCTTTCCAAAAATAAGGACTGGTTTCAATCATACTAAGTGGATGGGGACTCTGAAGCCTACTAAGTACCAGGAGGCCTCATTAGTGACACCGTTGACCTGTGTTCCCTGAATGATATCGATCCCAGTTAGGAGATCCCAACAGTTGTAAACAGGGGTATCACATATGCCCTCAGGACTGTCCCTTCTGTGTGGAAGTCAGGCATTAACTTGCTGCCCCCTCCCAAAACACGGTGCCTTGTACCATAGGGAGGGTCGTAAGCAACCTTCAATTGTTTAAGGAAGCACCACTGTTAGATCAGGTAGCCCTCAGATGACCATAGAGATTCCTCCAAGATGAAGCTGCCTTTAGTTACATAGGGGAGCTTCCTGGAGGGTTTGCTAATTTATTTATACACGTTCTGCAAGAAGTTATCCCTATCTTGAGAGTCATCCTATTTGAAATGTTGATATGAAATTATTCCCTGACTTTAGCTGAAGACAACAATAATACCACCTCACCCCTGGAAGGCATTCGGGTGAGCCTCAGCTCACTGGCCAATGTGGTTATGGATGATAGAATTGTTCTTGACTTCCTTGTGGACCCAGTAGAGTCTCCAAACACTAATACATCCTCCATACCCGGATTAATGCCTCAAGCCAGGTGTAAGGTCAATTCAGAAATTCGAGAATGCCACCTAGCTTTCTGAGGCAGACCTTGATGGCTTATGGTTGGTTGGTTTTGTTTTTTTATGTTGTTTGTTTATCTAGCTAGTTGAGTGCTGGCCCTTGGGTATGGTTAAGGTCAGTTCTGCAAATTGGTCTCATCCTGTTACTTGGAGTTTTGTTGATAGTATTCTATTAGAATGGATTAGGTCCCATTTCTGTCAGATTAATCAGAGTGGCCAATGGAGTGGCAAACAAAACTCATCAGAAGTCATCTGTAAAGTGCTGTGAAGGCTGGAAGAGAAGTGACTTTTAGCATGGAGGCCTAGGAGGTTACAGGAAGTGAAACCTGTTTCATCTGAGCCGTAACTGAGGACTAGTGCAAAGTATGCCCGTTTTACAGTTGAGGAAACTGAGGCACAGGAGTTGAATAACTTGCCAAGGTCACTGAGCTAGGGAGTGGGAAGTACAGATTTGAGACAAGATCTTTTCACCTCCAGGTATAGAGATTGCAACTCACTGCCTCAGGCATAAGACCAAGACCACCAGTCAAAGAAGAATTGAGAAATTCGGCATTAGCTTTAGATGTTTTTCTAAAATTGACGTGGTGATTGATCTACAGAATTGGTGATTGTGAGTTTGGAGACGTCTGGGTGAAGAACCCTAGGACTTTGTATAAGCCAGTCTTTAAAAAAATATTTTAGACAAATAATAATGTTTACAGAATAATAAAAGTGAACCACCTTAAAAATTTACCAATACAGTTGAAGTCCCTTAGGTATCTTTAATCATGTCCTACTCCCTGCACTCTCAAGAACTACTCCCCTGAATTTAGTATTTATTATTCCTATGCATTTTCTTCATATGTACATGTCCATTAACAATATATAGTATTGTTTTACAAGTTTTAAAACTAAATATGGTATTTGGTTATGGGTTCCCAAGACCACTCCTAGACTCCAAGGACTCACGGGACTCAGCATTATAGATGCACTCACAGCTAAATTTTATTATGTGTAGTTAGGACACATTGGATTATAAAAGAAAAAGACACAAGTGGAGTCTGAAGGAATCCATGTGTATTTTGTATGCTCTCCTCATGAGGCCTTGCACTAAGCACACTTTCCCCCAGCAAGGAAAATATTCTCAATATTATAATCATGTACAGACGTACAAAATAACATAATTTTTATTTTTTTTAAGGCTGAGGGGCTCGTCTAATGCTCTGGATCTCTGGTCCTTTTTGTGGAGTTCACTCTTGCAGGCCGGAACCTTTGCTGGACTCTCAGGCTGTTCGGGGAAATTTTAGGCGGTGATACCTATGAGCCGACAAGCAACCAATGATACGAGCGTGGGGCTTGGGGACTGAGGGGAGGAAGGAAGGGGGAGGAAATGGAAGCGTGGGGGCGAAGCCAGGTTGCTGCGCGGCCCACGGGAGCCGAGGTAAGCCTAGTACCTGAGCTGGAGCTGATAGCGGTCGGGGAGAGCAAGGGGCAGGTCCGCGCGGTGTCTGGGACAGGGCTGAGCGCGCGAGAAAGGACGGACTGCGGTGGCGGGACGGCGAGGGGGCGGGGCCTCGGCTGCGCCCGTCCCACGGGGCGGGGCCGACTCTGGGCAGCGGCCAACCGCGGGTCCCACCGCCCGCCGGGTGCAGATTCCGCGCGTCCCGGCCTTCGCTTCCCAGCGGGGAAGTCTAGGCGTCAGGGGTCTGTCGGTCTTCCCGCCTGTCTGTGGCTGTGTCGCCCTTTTCCTTCAGTTTTCGTGGCTTGCTTCCGTGTCCTCCGCAGTCTCTCTCTCTCCCTCTTCCGTAGCTCGTTCTCCCACGCTGCGGTGTCCGAGACCTGAGAGCTGCCCGGCGCCCAGCTCTGCTCGGAGAGAGATGGAGGAGCCGGGGTCCCGCGAAGGTGAGCGGGGCTGCGACACTGCAGATGGACCCGAAAAGTGGGGCGCTATGAGTGTGAGGACAGGTTCGGCGGCTCCGTCTGGGCTTAGAAAATCCAGTCTGAGGGGAGGATTGAGTCAGAGCCCTCCAGTGAGCCAGGAATTCAGACATGGCCAGAGTATTCTTGGCTAGTCTATTTTTGTATTTCCTTCCAAGGAAGCCAAACCTAAACCGTAGGATTGCCATTTTAGAGACGAAAGGGAACAGGGGCAGGGGCAGCCCTTACTAGAAAGGGCTGTATGGGTCGTAGAGAGTCCCGAGCTGGAACTTAGGAGGCCTGAATCTTGGTCCAGGTTTGCTGTTACTGACTTAAGTGGCCTAATAAAAGCTTATTCCCCTCCGTGGGCCTGAGTTTTCCCCTGTGTACAATGAGAGGGGTTTGGAGTACTGGATCTCCAAAGGCCTGACAAAGGATGGGTGCTCCTTAAATATTAGTTGTTAGGAATAAATAAATGAATTAGGGAGGCCTCCTTCTGGGGTTCACTGGAGGATGCCTGCTGCACTGAATTAATTGGGGTCTTTGGAATTACGTTGTTCTTTTATGCTGAGAAATAGGTGACATTATCCTCATTACAAGTGAGAAAACAGAGACTCAGAGATAAAGTGACTTGCTAGTAACTGTCAAAGCACATCACACTTCAAAGTCCAGGCTATACTATACTCTCTCCCAGTAAGAGAGCAGGGAGAATTATATGGAGTAACAATTAATAAATTGAGTTCTCTGCTAAAATGAACAACTCCAAAGCAGAACTGTATCTAATTCTTCTCTATCCTTAGTTCCCAGTATATGCTTTGTGTGAAACAGTATGAGTTTCAATGCCAGTCATCGTCTATGCTACTTAACCACTGTCATCACTGTGATCAATATAACCATAATTAACAAAAAATGATAGTGATTCTAATTGTTATAGCGATAGCAAAGCCATAAGTGAAATTGTAAAGACATCAAAAGTTAAAATACTTATACAGTGCTTTAAAGTTTATAAAGCACTTTTGGGTAGTTCTCCATATTGGTCATCTTATATAGATATTATCCATGTTTTACAACCATAGGAGTCCCAAGACCTAGAGACACTAAGTGACCAGCACAGGATCACATGGAAGTATAGGTGGGACATGAATCAAGCCCCATATGAGAAGCTGTGCTTCCGCTTTGGTGTGCTCCCCACTTCCTCTCCCTCTCCTTTTTCCTAGTTGCTCCTCCCCACTCTGTGCCTATCTTGTGCTTTATTATTATCACCCAGAGAATTCCTGGGTGTTAACTAATAATCACGTGTTGACTGATCATTAACAGTGTGGTATTCACTCATAATTAATGTGTGGGCTTATGAGAGTTTAAATATGATCTTTCCCAGAGGCGTAGAAAGATTTAAATACTTGTAAGAAAAAGAGTTGTAACTGTTATCATCATCATCATCATCATCATCATCACCACCACTATACATAGGTTTCAAGGAATAAAACTACCCTTAACCCTTGAACAACACGGGTTTGAATTGCACAGTTTCACTTATACAAGAATTTTTTTTCCAATAAATACAGTATAATACTATAAATGTTTTTTCTCTAACTTGTGATTTTGTAACATTTTCTTTTCTTTGACATTATTGTAAGAATACAGTATATAATACATATATACATACAAAATATGTGTTAATTATTTATGTTATTGGTAAGGCTCCCATCAACAGTAGGCTATTCGTAGTTAAGTTTTTGGGGGAGTCAGAAGTGATACAGGAAGTTTTGACTGCCAGAGTGGGGGTCAGCACTCCTAAATCCCTGTGTTGTCCAAGAGTCAACTGTAGAACATGTAGTGATTGACAGTCTAAAATAATGACTGCCATATATTGAGCTCATACTATGGCATAGGCTCTATAACATCCACTTTAACTTTTCAGCTTAATTCTCTCAACAGCTCTACTAAATTTTATATATGAGATCCTGAAATATTAAGAAAGTTAAATAACATGGCCAAGGTCATGTAGTCCTAGTGGGGTCCAAATCCTTTGTTCTTACCCTTCACACCAGCTTGGCTCAGGGACAGATCTTTACTTAAGAAAGCTTGATCCTCCCTGGCAGGAGAGCCTGAGTTGAGGAGAGAGAGGTGTGCTGTAGTCCTGTGTGAAGAAGACAATTCCCACTTGCTTTTCAGTTCTGCTACTGAGAGCACAGAATTGGAGTGAGAGGAGGCTTTTCTTCTGGACCCCGGAGGCTAACTCCTCATTCCCCTCACAGTAATGAGCCATGGTTCTTCTTTAAGTTAGAAACAGTGACCAATGAATCATTGATATGCCTTTGGATAAGTTTGTCTTGATTGACACCAAGCAGCTGTGGCCAAAAGCAGTGCAACTTTTTCTTTCAGTTTGTTGCCCACAGGCTACCTGGGAGATTGGTCCAAAATGCATACTTGATCATGCCATCCCTCTGCGAAAAACTCTTGAGTGGCTCCCTTTCTGTGGGATAAACACCTTAATAAGGTAGCAAAGCCTCCCAGGACCTGGATTCTGCTGACCCCTTCAGTCCCACTTTTGCATTCTGTTCTAGTCATGCTGCATGCCAACAGTCCCCGCAGCTCACTGTTTTCTGTCATTTGTAGGCTTTTCGCATTCACCCCCTCTGCCCTTTTCACCCTTCAGTTGGCTGACCCACTGTTCATCCTTTAAGATACAGCTCTCTCATTCAGTCATTCAGTAGATAATTTGTCAAGTGCCTATCAATTACCAGGCATGGTTCTAAGTATAATGGTGTAGCAGTGAATAGAAGAGACATATCTCTGACCTTTATGGAGCTTCTGTTCTGTAGTATATATTAAACAAGTATAATCTGGATATAAGTGGCATGGAGAAGAGAGCAGAGAGAGGGGATAGAGAGAGGTAGGGAAGTTGTCAGGGAAGGCCTCATAGATTAGATGACATTGGAACAGAGCTAAAGGAGTTTAGGGAGTGAACTCTGTGGTTATGTGAAAGAAGAATGTTCTAGGCACAGAGCATAAGGATATGAGGCAGGAGTTCACTTGACTCAGTTATTTCCCCTCCAGAAATCCTCTGCTGCCCTGATCTAGACAGATCCTTTTTCTGTTTTCCTACATGCTCTCAGGTTGACCTCTAATGTGGCACTTATTGCATGATATTGTAATTGTCCATATGTGTCTGTGTCCCACACTTGGATGGGAGTTCTTGAGGTCAGGGACTTATGATTCCTTTCTGTTGCCTCAGCACCTACCTTATGGCCTGACTTGGAGTGGGCACCCAGAAATATTTACTAAATAAATGAATAAAGCCTTCTGGGCCTTGTTTTTATAATCTGATAATTTTTACAAGTGATTTATATCAGATGGTGAAAGAAAAAAAAATTATAAGCCTGGTTCTGTCTGGCTTGATTCCCTTTCCCAGCCTCTGAGAAGTAGAACACCTGATTTTCTTTGAGAAGTGTACCTGGAGACTTATATTTTCAGCATATGACAGGCTATCTAACCGGTAACTTTGTAGATAAGATATAACAAAGTCCTTTATGGCTGAAACTGCAAGAAAGTAAGAGGAATTCCCAGGGGCCTAGAAACCAAGAGTAAACTGAAAACCAGACCAGTTAGCCCCTTAACCTGACCTCAGCTGCCCTGGATGTTTGCTGCTCTCACTTGCCTAGAAGTCTGGGCTTTTGTAGATTTGCTGTTGCAGTGAATGAAACTATGGGCCTACATGGGTTATACTCTCATTGGAACTGAGATCGCTGCATGAAGCTAGGTGCCTTGAAAGTCTGCATCCTCTGGTGGGGTGGACCAGGCAAAAAGAATTCTCACTGCTGACACAGAGAAGACAAAGATTGACTCTTATCTTAGGCACTAATAGAGAGGAAAAGTTTCTCCAGAGAATTCTTTTTTTTTTTTTTTCAAGTTTTTGTTTTAATATATTTTTTGAATGTTTTATTTATCTCCAGGAGAGAGAGAGAGAGAGAGACAGCGCGAGCAGGGGAGGGCCAGAGAGAGAGGGAGTCACAGACTGAAACAGGCTCCAGGCTCTGAGCAGGCAGTCAGCACAGAGCCCGACGCGGGGCTCGAACCCACGAACCGCGAGATCATGACCTAAGCGAAAGTCGAACGCTTAACCGACTAAGCCACCCAGGCACCCCTCCAGAGAATTCTTAACCAAGGCATTTCCTCATATGGATTTGGATTTATATTTATATTATCCGAATGGCTTAAAGCCTCCACAGAAATTGACATGGGAAACCATCCAGGCTGATATTACTCCTGGATGCTTGGCAGCGGCACATGCGGAATCTCTGGAAAGACATACTGACACAGGCTGCACAGGATTTCCACAGAGTGTGGAGGATAGATTTGTTCACTGAGCATGTGTATTGCTTGCTTTGTTCTGTTTTGACCATGATATTACCTTTGTACAAAAAAGTAAACATTTGAGTACGTCAGAGCCTCCCTGTGTGCGATCTCCAGAAATGGAATGATAGAGCAGAACTTGCACTCAGGCCATCGTTTGGGTATGGACACATATTTAGCTGCCTCCTATCCTTGCAGAGGTCATGGAAGAAGTGACATCGTGCTCCTTCAACAGCCCTCTGTTCCAGCAGGAAGACGAGAGAGGGATCACCTACCGGATCCCAGCCCTGCTCTACATCCCCCCCACCCACACCTTCCTGGCCTTTGCAGAGAAGCGCTCCACAAGCCGGGATGAGGATGCTCTCCACCTGGTGCTGAGGCGAGGGTTGAGGACTGGGCACTCGGTACAGGTGACTCATCCCAGATCTGGCTCTGAGCCTCAGTCTCTCTCCGCATTGCTTAGAGCACTTCAGGGTCTGTGCCCTTTCCCATCAGTGCTGGAAGAGCCCTGCGTGGGAGCTGAGGAAGAAGAAAACTAGTAAAAGCAATGGCTCTCACTTACTGAGTACTTCCTGTGTGCTAGGTGCACATTAGATCCTCAGTAGCCACTCTGTGACATAGGCATGGTTGTCAGTCACATTTTACAGATGAGGAAACTGAAGCTCAGAGAGGTTGCCACTTGCTCAAGGTCACACAGCTGTAATAAAGCAGCAGAAGCAGGCTTTAAATTCCATCTCTGATTCCAGAGGCCCCCACGGTTCATTCAAATTCAGCTAACATGTGGTGTGCTTTTCACTCACATTCTCTTTTGTTCTTATAAGTCACCCAAGGAAGGAAGGAAGCATTGTTAGTCCAGTTTTCTGGTCAGGGATCCTGGTATTCCAAGAGGTAGGTAGCTTGTTCAAAACCACAACTAGCAGATGGTCAGGGGCAAGGATAACCACAGTCTTCCTCCTCCTGCATGTTTTATGTGAGATACATAATATCCCCACTGTTCAGGAGGAAACAGGATTAAAAGTGGTTTGCCTTGGACACACACCTGCCAAGCAGCAGAGCTGGTGCTGGAGCCCTCGCCCTTAAGTAGCACATTTTCACTACATTTTTAGAGGACAAAGAATGATTGCTGCCCTTGGGCCTGTGAGTATAGGTTTATTTCAGATCTCTTTTCTCTTGCAGAGCTGGCTGAAGTGAGGATCAAAAGAGACTGTGGATTTGAGAGTCTTTTGTAAACAAACAAACATATGTATCTTATAATAGGCACTCTAATCCCTCTAGCCTACCCTAGTTTTCTACTCATGGAGATATCACCATTAAAATATCACATCTCTAGGGATGCCTTTCTTTTCTCTCTTTTTTTTCTACTACAGTGCAAATGCTTTTCTGCTAAATGTGGGACTTGCCAGCAACCCCTGCCTCTGCTCTGGGTGACTTGCTCACATTTCTTTGTGGGAATGATGTTTACTTTGGGGAACTTTCAGTCCCTGCTCTTTCACCCTATCTTATCATGAGCCTTCCTCACAGCTGCTTCCCAAGACCAAACCTCTGCTTGTATTACTCACTGGCCTCCAAAGAGGCCAAGCGGGGCAGCCTAGCTTGTAGTCAGGCATTGCCTATGGTTGTGTTACCTTGCTTTCTGTCACAAACATTTGGGCTGTTGAGCACTTTTTACCAGACCATGCTTGTTGCATAACCTCAGAAACATTCACAGATGCGTCCATTTGAACTCATTCTCCCTTCTCTGTATTTTATCCCTTCCATTCTCTGGTTTGCCTATATGAAGAATCTTGAAGTTAGAAGAATCATCAGCCTAGCTTCTTTCCCAGTACAGAGATCTTCTGTATTCCCTTGGTAGCTACTAATATCTTAGGGGTTAAGAACATGGCTTTGGAGTCGGGCAAGATCTACCACTGATTGGCCATGTGACCTTGGTAATTTGACTCTTCTCTGTTTCATCGTCTGTAAAATATAATAATAGCAGTTGCATAGTAGGAATTCATCATTAGTCATCTATAAAGGAGCTGCTTACACAACTCCTCAGATGAGGAAATTAATCCTGTGGCAACTGTTAACTTTTTGGAGTGAGACAACCTGTACTTCTCTATAATTACCCATTGGTCTTGTTCTGGCTTCCAGGACATCCAATCTATACATAATAGAAAGCCCCTTTTGCAGAATGCTCTTTGATGTACCTGAAAGCAGTATGCATACCTTCTGAGTCTTCTGATTTGGGGGCTTGCCAGCTTCATTCTTTTAGTGGCTCTTAAGACCACAGTCTTGATTTCGTTTCTGGACTCTTGAAAGCTTTGATTACTGTCTTTGGGATTTGGTCTGGGATGTCAGTGTCCTTTTTCAAAGAACGGTGTTCTGAATTTAGGGCTCCAAGGAGAGATTGACCAGCTCAGCAATGAGGTGGCTATCCCGTTTTTTATCCTTTTAATGAAGCCTAACATAAAGTAGCATTTATTTTTTTGGCAGCTGCATAATACAGTTGACTAATGTTAAGTAAACCATCAGCTAAAACCTCTGAAATCTTTTTCACATTTGCTGATTTTAAGAAAATTATATATGTTTTTTATTTTTTTAAATTTTTAATGTTTATTTAAACATGAGCTGTGAGATCATGACCTGAGCCAAAGTCAGACGCCCAACTGACTGAGCCATCCAGGTGCCCCTAAACATTTTTTTAAATTGTAGTAGGATAGGGGCTTCTGGGTAGCTCAGTCATTAAGTGTGCAACTCTGGCTCAGGTCATGATCTCACGGTTTGTGAGTTCGAGCTCTGCGCTGGGACCTGTGCTGACTGCTTGGAGCCTGGAGGTTACGTCGGATTCTGTGTCTCCCTTTCTCTCTCTGCCCCTCCTCCACTCACACTCTGTCTCTCTCCCTCTCAAAAATAAGTAAACATTAAAAAAAAATTTTAATTGTAGTAGGATATACCTAAATTTTCCTTCTTAACCATTTTAAGTGTACATTGCAATTTTGTTAACTATAGGCACATTGTTGTGCAACAGATCTCTAGAACTTTTTCATCTAGACTGCTACTTTATACCCTTTGGACAACCCTCATTTCCCCCTGCCTCACCCACTAGCCACCACCATTCTTCTTTTTATGAGTTTTTAGATACTTTGGATGCCTCATATAAGTGGAATCATACAGTATTTATAGTTTTTTTGATTGGCTTATTTCACTAAGCATAATGTCTTGAAAGTTCATTTGTGTTGTAGTCTGTGACAAGATTTCCTTCCTTTTTAAGGCTGAATAATATTCCATTATATGTATATACCACATTTTGTTTATCCAACCATCTGTTGATGGACACTTGGGTTCTCCCACCATTTTTTTTTTTTAGGTTTATTTACTTTTTTTGAGAGAGAGAAAGAGAGAGCATGAGTGGGGGAGGGGCAGAGAGAGAGATTGAGAATCCCAAGCAAGCCCCACACCTGCAGTGCGAGCCCAATGCAGGGCTTGAACCCATGAACCATAAGATCATGACCTGAGCCAAAATAAGAGTTGGACGCTTAATCAACTGAGCCACCCAGGGTCCCCAGTTCTTCTTTCTTTTAGCTATTGTGAGTAATACTGCTATGAACATGGTTGTGCAAATATCTCTTCAGGACCTTGCTTTTAATTCTTTTGGATAAATATACCTAGAAGCAGAATTATTGGATCTTATGGTAATTCCACTTTTATTTTTTTGAGGAGCCTCCAAGCTGTTCGTCACAGTGACTGTACCATTTTATATTCCCACCAGTAGTGTACAGGGTTCCAATTCCTCCACATTCTTGCCAACACTTAGTATTATTAGTTTGATAGCAGTCATCCTAGTGGATATGAGGTCATACCTTGTGGTTTCGATTTGCATTTTCCTAATTATTAGTAATGTTATTTTTCATCATGCTTATTGTCCATTATACCTGTTGTTCTTTAATCATGCTTCTCCATTCAGATTTTTAAGCCCAAGATTTGTTCTATCTCTGTCAAAGCTTCTGCTTGTTTATGTCCCATTGCTCCACCTGCTTGAGATTGTTCAGATTCTGATACTTTCATGTTTTAGTTACTGTTTCTTCCAGCTTCGTGTAAACTTTATATTAGACCTGTCTGGCCCAAATCGTTTTCTCCTCTCACTCAGTAATAATGATTGAGCTTCTGATTTCACAATGACTAAGTCTTAGCCAATAGCTAAGTTGACTTTGGTACCTATGTTTGAAGTGTTTACAGTGCACAAGGCACCCTGGTATAGAATGGGCTGCCCCAGAGAGAGTGAGTTTTCCTGTCCTTTGACTAGTTCAAGGAGAGACTGAATGGCCTTTATCCAAAAAGCTTACAGGAAAATCTTCTGTGGGATGGCATTTAGTTCTAGATCCTCATGACTCTTGTGATGTGAGCTTTGCTTGATGATATGTTCTACTCCTTTATGCAGGAATTAATTTTTTTTTGCATAGTTAATGCATTCATGTAGTATGCATGGTATAAAACAGTATAAAAATGTATGTATCCATTCTTAGTCTCCTCCTTCCCAAAGGTTGTCACCATTGCATCTTATGTATCCTTCTAGTGCTTCTTCCTACATAAACAAAGAAATACAAGTATATAGTGTTAATACTCCTCTTTAAAACTTTTATCTCTTTATTTATTTATTTAAATTTATTTTTGAGAGAGGCAGAGCATGAGCAGTGGAGGAGAAGAGAGAGAGGGAGACACAGAATCTGAACCAGGCTCCAGGCTCTAAATGAGCTGCCAGCACAGAGCCCGACGTGGGGCTCAAACTCAAAAGCTGTGAAATCATGACTTGAGCTGAAGTTGGACACTTAACTGACTGAGCCACCCAGCGCCCCAGTACTCCTCTTTAAAACGTTTTTAATGTGAAGTGATAACACATATGTAGAAAACATAAAATAAATGTCAAATGTACAAAACATGGATGTCTTCTCTGTGAACTGACAAAGCCAATACTTGTGGACTCTTCACTTAGGTCAAGAAATAGAATATTACCAGTACCTCAGAACTTCTCTTATCCCCTTCTCTTTCCCTGAGGTAATTACTATCCTTATTTATAGCTTTAGAGTTTAGCTTTGTTTCTTTTTAGGCTTTATTCTTATGTTTGGCTTCTTTTATTCAATATTTTTGAGGTTTATCCAAACTGTTGTGTACAGGCTGCTCTGAACATTCTTGAACTTGTTTTTGCTACTATGTGCATGCATTTTTGCTGGGTTTATGCCTAGAAATGTAATTGCTGAATCATAAGGTATGGTTATGTTCCACTTCAGTAGATAATGCCAGCCAGTTTTCTAGAGTGGTGGTCATGAAGGCTGGGCTACTTCAATTTCACCCTTGCTCTGCATTTAGCTCTTTAAAGTTCCATCTTAGAGCATAGGGGTTTACTAGGGCCCCAAATTTTTGTCTTCCTAGCCCCATAAGGCTGTCAAAAGAATCATTTAGCTTTCTCAGCTTTTCAGTTATCTCTTTGAGAATTAGCAGAGATACCCTGAGAGGAAATGGGACTTGAAATACCAGGCCAACCGCTCTGAATGAACTTCTCTCAGTTCTTGGCCTATAATTCCTCATTGTCTTGTTTCCTCCCTGGTGCTTTTAGCCAGATGTTTTTGTCTTAATATTTCATCTGTCATTTCCAGTCTCAGTGGAAAGGTTGGTTCAAATTACCTAGTTCACTGTTATGGGAAGTCCTTTTCCTACATATTTCTGATGCAAAAAGTAGCATGCTGCATACACTGGTCTGTACTTTGCTTTGTTCATTTAGCAATATGTTAGGGAGATCTTTCCATCTCAAGGTGTAGAGCCCTTCCTTTTTCTTTTTTCTTCTCTTGCATTGTGTGTTCATGTAACCAGTTCCCTGTTGGTGAATATTTGGGTTCACAATATTTTTCTGTTCCAAGCAATACCACAATGAGTAATCTTGTATATACTTAATTTGATGAATGGATATACCTTACGATAAATTCCCAGAATTGGGCATGCTGGGAACGGATGAATGTGTCTGGAATTTTGAGATGCTCTACATAAATGAAGCATTTTGCACTTTGGTCTATGTAAGAGAGTGTCTTCACATTTTTGCCAACAGAATACTGTCAAAGTTTATGCTGTTGCCAGTTTGTTAGGTGAAAGGTTACTACATCAATTTTCATTTTAATTTGCTTTTCTCTTTTATATGTGAGGTTGCCATATTTTCTTTGTTTTTTTTTCCCTTCTTTCTGTGAATTGTCTGATCTTCCTCTTTGCCCATTTCAGATGGGTTTCCGGAGAATTTTTTTTTTTACCAATTTATAATTGGTTTTAAAAATTTATTAAGGAGATTAGGCCTTTCTTTGTAATAAGTCTGATTAGGCATTATCTTATTTTAGCTTTACAACAACTCCTGTGTGAGCATGTTGTTACATTTTCCACTTAACTGATGAAGAATTTGAGTTGAAGTAAGTTTAAGTGACTTGCCTAAGGTCACACAATAAGTGATGAAGGCTGATTTGAACTAGGTATCTCTGACTCAATGCTTGAGTTCTTAATGCCATTGTTATGCATTGCTTCCCCAGGATAGTAGAGGAAGGAAAGTAATCTTTGGTAATCTTTGTTTTAAATTTCCCTTTATTTACAAATTTCATATTTGTCCGCCTTGCTTTGCTTTTCTTCACTATTTTCTTTTTCTTTTTTTTTTATTCTTCCTTCCATTTTTCTTGGTTGTTCTTTCTTTTAAAAAATATTTATTTAGCTCCTATCATGTTCTGGGCACCCCTCAAAAGACTCATAATCTAGGAAGGGAGCCAGTCACATAAAAAAGTATGATTATTGAGGCACTTGGGTGGCTCAGTCAGTTGAGTGTCCAACTTCGGCTTAGGTCATGATCTCACAGTTCAGGAGTTCAAGCCCTGCATTAGGGTCTGTGCTGACAGCTCAGAGTCTGGAGCCTGCTTTGGATTCTGTGTGTCTGTGTCTCTCTGCTCCTCTCTCTTTCTCTCAAAAATAAATAAACATTAAAAATTTTTTAAAATATGATTTTATATAATAAGTTATATAATTCTTCTGTGTTGTACAAAGAGGGAGCTACCAGTTGCTTTGGGGAGAGGAGGGGAGAAGAGGGAGTTCATAGAAAGCTTTACAAAAGAGATGACTTCTGAGTTTGGAGGGTGAATTGGGCATCTAGACAAAGTGAGGAAGTGTTCTAGACGGAGGGGACAGCATGCACAATATCTAGCATTGCCTCTTCCCAGCCTTATAAATCATCCTATAATATTTGCGAATTTAGTGAATACTTGAGCCTTCATGATTTCATAGATTTTAATATCACTTATTTCTTATCACTGAAAAAGACAAATGCTTTTAATGACTCTCATGTACTCCTATTAGTCTTTCACTCCTGCTCTCTCCCCCTTCCCCTTGTCTAGTGGGGACCCTTGATGCCATTGATGGCAGCCACATTACCTGGGCATCGAACCATGAACCCCTGTCCTGTGTGGGAGCGGAAGAGCGGCTGTGTATTCCTATTCTTCATCTGTGTGCGAGGCCATGTCACCGAGTGTCAACAGATCCTGTCAGGCAGAAATGCAGCCCGACTCTGCTTCATCTGCAGCCGAGACTCTGGCTGCTCATGGAGCCAGGTGAGGGACCTGACCGAAGAAGTCATTGGTGCAGAGGTGAAGCGCTGGGCCACATTTGCTGTGGGCCCAGGTCATGGCATCCAGCTGGAGTCGGGGAGGTTGGTCATCCCTGCGTATGCCTACTACATTCCTTACTGGTTCTTTTGCTTCCGGCTGCCATGTAAAACCAAGCCTCATTCCCTGATGATCTACAGTGATGACCTAGGGGCCACATGGCACCACGGCAGGCTCATTCAGCCCACGGCAACAGTAGAGTGTGAAGTGGCAGAGGTGACTGGGTGGGCTGGCAACCCCGTGCTGTATTGCAGTGCCCGGACTCCAAACAGGTGCCGGGCAGAGGCTTTCAGCGATGACCGTGGTGAATGCTTTCAGAGACCAGCCCTGAGCCAACAGCTCTGTGAGCCCCCACATGGCTGCCAAGGCAGTGTGGTGAGTTTCCGGCCCCTGGAAATCCTACATGGGTGCCAGGACCCTGATGGCAAAAATGCTCCTATCATTCAGCAGAGCCCTCTGCTAGACAGCTCACTAAGGCTGGAGCAGGAAGCTGGACCACTGTCCAAATCATGGCTCTTGTACTCACACCCAGCCTGTAAGAAGCGGAGGGCCAACTTAGGTGTCTACCTCAACCGGACTCCCTTGGATGCTGCCTGCTGGTCCCATCCCTGGATCTTGCACTGCGGGCCCTGTGGCTACTCTGATTTGGCTGCTTTGGAAAAGGAGGGCTTGTTTGGGTGTCTCTTTGAGTGTGGGACCAAGCAAGAGTGTGAGCAGATTGCCTTCCGCCTGTTTACAGACCGAGAGATCCTGAGCCATGCGCTTGGGGACTTCACCAGCCCTGTTAAGAACCCTGAGCCAATTGAAAGCTAAAAATTGACTTAGGACCCGATTTTCCATAGAAAGGAAACCACGGAAGGCAACCACAGCCAGGATAATGGAGGCCAGGTTAACAGAAGTTATTGAAGTCTACAGAGAATCCAAAAACTTAATAATGTGCTCCCTACCTTTTTTTCCCTTCTCCTCCAAAGAGCAAAATGAAAACTTTGCCATAGCTACTACAGTGAAAAAACTATAAGTTGGGAAACCATGATGTGGTCCTGGTTGTGCCATTGGCTTGCTGTGGGGTTTTGGACATATCACTCGAACACCCGAACCTGGGCCTCAGGTCTCCATCTGTAAAATGAGAGGATGGGTTCTGGGATTTTTCTTCTTCCATTTATAGCAAAGGCACAGTGTCTGCATGCTCCATGATCAGCAAATGCTAGCTGCATAGTGGACTCTGATCTCAAAAGGGAAGTCAGAGGACTCAGCTTTTCCAATGACTCACCACTCATCCAGGTGTGAGGCTACAAGCAGGTGTTCTGGCATGAAGATCTGGATGGTTTGTCCTGTTCCTGATAACAAACACACACACACCCCTTTAATCATGTTGAGAACTCTTGAGGTTCTCTGCCCTAAAGGAAATGGGCAAAAAACAAAACAGTTGGATCATGAGATCACATACCTTCTCCAGCTTTGCAGCTATGCTCAGTCTTCCTTCCTCATCCAGAACGCTTATTCCCTATGGAGAAAATGAGAAGCTCAATGCCAGTAGCCCTTGATAATGACACTGAATTGTTTCTCATGGCATTACTTCTTTTTTTTTTTTTTTAATGTTTTTATTTATTTCTGAGAGAGAGAGAGACAGCGTAAGCAAGGGAGGGTCAGAGAGAGAGGGAGACACAGCATCTGAATCGGGCTTCAGGCTCTAAGCTATCAGCACAGAGCCCGACGCGGGGCTCAAACCCACGAACCGTGAGATCATGACCTGAGCCGAAGTCAGTTGCTTAACCAACTGAGCTACCCGGGTGCCCCTCTCATGGCATTACTTCTATGAAAGGTGAACCTGAAGTTCATTTACCAGGATAGTTCCTGATGAGAAAAGGACATGGATTAGGACTTTAAAGCATTGGACAGAACTTCCCATGGTCTCTGCCCTCAAGGAGCTCACAGTTTATGGGGCTAGAAGTGGGAGAAAATTCAGGAAGATCAATGCAGCCAGTTTGTAGATATTGGGCTTTAAGTTGAAGTGATGGTAGCTCTTGATGTCATTGTCTTAGTTGCATCTTCATTGTGTGTGGAGTCATCTGCCCCTGGGCTTGGCGATACTGCTGGGTTTCCCCCAAGCCCATTTTTCTCAGAATGTTTTTCTGGCCTAGCCACTTCTTTACCCATGGAGGAGGTCTTAAGGAAGACCGTTAGGAAGGTCTCTGGACCTCAGACCTCTTAATCAGGCCTGTTTTTTTGTACCTGCTGCAAATACTATTTGTGAAGTAGAGATTCCTCTTTGTCTGATAGGTTTGGGGCTGAACTTTGCCAGTGCTGGGTCTCTCAGATGAAACCAGATTGGTTGCTCTTAATTTAGATTCTTTCCCCATAGACTGTTATTGTAACAGAAATTCTATCATGAAATACTTGGTTTTCCTCCATATTTTAGGAGAAAAATACCTTGTATCAGAGACCTTTTATCAGATAACTATCATTAGTGCTGAATAATGGCCTAGAGAGCAAGTCTTAGTCTTGGAGGCCAAGGGTTGGTGGTTGCCCCAGTCCTGTGCAGAATGAAAGCAGAGATTAACTTCCCCTAGTCCTGCACATGGCTTAAGTCCATGGCTTAGACTGACTTCTTAAAACTCCTCTAGCCTCTCAGCCATTTGTCCAAGTTATTTTCCCAGCACACTGTTATGATCATTCATTCACTCATTTGTACATTTATCTAAATATTCTTGAGGGCCTTGCATGATGTAAGGTGCTTTCTATTGACATTCCCTGGTTGAAAATCATTTGTGGCTCCTCATTGCCTACTAAAGGGTATCTACATTTCGTCTGGCATGTAGGGCCATCAGTTGTTGGGTGAGATAATGAATACTTATCTCTCCTCCTTTGTATGAAGCCAACTGTCAGAGAAGACCTCTGTCGAGTTGGCAGTGGAGGGGGTGGCAGAGCTGCTGGTACAGGGAGGGGTTGGGTAAGGGCAACCCTCTCCCGAGTAGTAGAAACTTCCTGCTCTGCAAAGCTTTGCTGAACACCATACCCCAAATAGAAGGAACAGGCGGGTGGCTCTGTTCTCCAACAAGGTTTAGCGGATGGAGAAAATGAAAATATCAAGACTTCTGTGGTACCATCCAAGGAGGGTGTCAAGGAAGAGACCTCGGTCACATGCCAGTGTGGACCACGGCTGTCCAGTACCAGTACTCATTAGATGTCTTCTCCATCTCTGAATTGCTCTTCTCATTCTCCTTCCCCTTTGTTTCATGTTTGCTTCTCCTTAGTGATTAGCAGTGAAGGTCTTAATAAGTAAAGGGCCTGTGTGCATATTTCAGGAATTGCAAGAAAAGAGGGTTGGGGTAATCCAACCTTTGTAATCCAATTACAGAGGTAATCCAGAATGTGGGTTAGAGAGAGGAACAGAGTGGGCAATGGTGGCTCTAAAGAAAAAGAGCAGCAGGGTAGGAGTCCTGGCACCTTTAGGAAGAGAGAGAATGTGGCACAGATAAGAGACAGAGGCTGGAGAGATAGTGTAGGTGGAGGCATCTATGAAGAAGAAATGATAACAGTCTGGAGCTGTTTCCCAACACATGTGGAAAGTGAAGAGAAGTTCCTACCCAGCCCTGTAACTTTAAGCCGGCTCAACTCATCCATGTTCTACATGACTAGCAAAAACACTTGGAGGCGCTCCAACTCTGTACCGATTACCCAAGCCTTCAGGGCCCTGGGTCCTATACCAGGATACTGGTATCCTAACTGAGCCCATTTCCGGCCCTCTCAGGTTGATAGGATGAAAAAGATTGGGCAGGTGATGGCAGCTGTGAAGAAAAGAGGAAAGCGGACTGCAGGCGCTAATCTAGAGGTGTGAAGAAAGGACTACAGAGGCTGTGGTCCATTGCCCGCAGATGTTCCCACCCTGTCTTGGGACCCTTAGGATGGATCCACCCAGCACACATGGCCCATGCCTAAGAGTGCAGGAAAGCACAGGGAGGGACCTCCTGCTGCTGGTATGTACCCGGACCAGCCTCCCATCCCTTCAACCTGCTGATCCTGCTCATGCTCCCTAACTCCTGATGCCCTGACTCCTAGGCCACTACTGTTTACTTCAGGCTCTCATTATTTGGATGCTTTATTTGGACCTGTTTCTCCTGGTCACCAGTCTCCCCTCATATCCATGGGATATGTGCAACTGCAGGCACAGATAAGAGACATGGCACCCTGTCTGTTGGGTAGCCTGAGGGACCCATAGAGGTCAGCCTAAGGCTGTGCAGCCTCCTCTCCAGGGCAGTAGGATTCAGTACTTCCATTTTAGCCAGATTAGGCTGCTCAGGCTTTTTCAGTAGGCTGTGAGTTTCCCCCACTGCATTATTCAGTAGATGTCATGTAATCCTCTCCTGTGCTGCCGGAGCGCACAGTTGGAGCCTCCCTTTGGTCATCACCACAGCTTGCTGTGTACTGTTATTGTCTGTGTTGTGCCCTCTAGCCCTCTGCGAGGCTCTGAATTCCTTGAGGGCCAATTCTGTATGAATCTTCCCTCTGTCCTTTTTACCTTGAGTCACATGGTTGCTTTATAAATCTATGCTTTTTCTATTATATTCTGAATTCCCTGAAGGTAAGGACTGTGTCCGATTCCTCTCTTTGTCCCCTGCACCCAGCACAGGGCCTGGCACAGAGCCTGGAACAGAAAAGATAGCAGTAAAGTTTCGCTGAATGAATAAAGGAGTCAAAGATCCTTGGATTCTTGGATCCTTGGCCTTCTGAAGCTAAGAGACAAGGTCAGGGCGAGCTCCCCCACAGGGAGAAGCATATTGAATCCCCCTGTAAATTGGATAGTGTTCTAAACTTGCTGAGCATTCACCTTAAATGAGTCTTCTCTATGCTGGCCTGCTCCCAGGTCAGCCCAGATGTCCCAGGATCACAGCCTAAGCCTGAAGCTAAGCCTTGCTTTGGGGTTCTCATCTCAGTGGTATTTCTCCTCTGTCCCTGATTGGACAGATACGACTGCCTGTCCTCCAGGACTCAAAGGGAGATACCGTGGTTCAGTATGGTCTGAGCATGTCTTGGCTCTGTGATACCAAGTGTCAGAAGTGCCCTCTGTACCACAGAAACTACAGGGCTCTGAAACAAGGAAAATGAATAAAGAGCTTAATTCCAATGGCTGCTGCTTGTTTTGTTGTTGTTGAGCAGTGAGATGATGATCATCCTAATACTTCTGTCTAGTTTGTACCCAACTTACTTCAGTAAAATGGATTTGACTTTTACTAAAGACTTTTCTTGCTTTTCCTAAGGATTTTTACTTTCAAAAAGCTTTACTAATAATCTTTGTACTGGGGCATCTGGGTGGCTTAGTCGGTTAAGCGTCCAACTCCTGGTTTCTGCTCAGGTCATGATCTCACGGTTTTGTGGGTTCAGGACCCGCATCGGGCTCTGTGCTGGCAGTGCAGAGTCTGCTTGGGATTCTCTCTGTCTCTCTCTTTGTCTCTCTGTCTCTCTCTCTCTCTCCCCCCCCCGACCCTGTCTTGTCTCTCTCAAAAATAGATAAAACCTTTAAAAAATAATAAAAAATTATCTTTGTACTTTTACACATTGTCATTGGAACATAGTTACTTGCCTATTGAGGAAACAGGGCAGAGATTACCATGACTCATTAGATTGTGTATTACACACTAGCTATTAAGTGATTATGTGGGGAGCTTGGATATACAAAATCACCCCATCTGACAGCAGCCTTGGTGCTGGTCACTGCACATCTTATGTCTTTTTGCAAAAACCCTGAGATTAATACCAAATTATAGCTGGTGAGGCCACAAATACCTCAGTGAAGTGGGGTGATAGCCTTAACTCATGACTTGTACTTAACTTTGTTAAAACAAATAGACCATTGAAAAAGTTTTATATGGGCATCTCTTTCACCATAACACAAAGAATCATATAATGATGAAAGAATAAATGTAGAGAACTGCTAATGTACCTCTTAAAAATAGTTTTATAATAGTTTTTGATATGATCATTTTTAAAATCCAATGATCTATTTTATTTTTGTGTATTTTGTTAGATTGCTTAACGTCTGGGGACCTTTGGGCTTGAGAGGAATATATCCTTACTGCATAAACTTCAGTGCTCAATTTCTCAAACTCCTATTCAGTAAAACATTGAACACCTCTTAAATATTTAAACAATAACGAATTTGATTAAACTGCAATGGAAATATCAGTTACAAATTTGGTATAAGCTGATCCTTTTGGACATTTCAAATACCATAAGTAGTATATAAAACATAAGTAAGTCCAGTGATTATAAAAGATACCCTTATCCCAAAATGGAGTAATGAATAGCTAACGTGATAGATTTAACTTTGTTAGTTATTATTATCATTTCACCTTTGGATAGTTCTAATTTTTAAACCTCTCCAGAGTTATAATGACTTTATCAGTTTCCCCTCCTCACCTCCCACACACGTTCCTAGCTATTTAGTAATAGCATATCCAAAGGGAAAAGAGTACCATTTCAGACAAGTACCGTTTCATTAAGAGCATTTACATGGGAGGTTGGAAGCCTGGACCCACAGACAGCTGGCTTCTTCTCAGTGGGTGGAGAATACCTGAATACAGAAGAAGCCTGAAAAAATGGAGCCAGGCAGAAACAATCCTAATGATATCTATGAGGCTTCTCCCTGTTATGGAACCTAATAACCCACCCCACATTAAAAAATTTTTATTTTGTTTATCTCTGAAGCAAGTTTGAGTCAAGTGTATACAGCTTGCAAGTGAAAGAATATGAATACCCATCCTCACAGAAAATTGGATTACTTGGTACCACAACCTGTTAGCCACTATCTGGTGCATAACTACATCAACTTCCACTGCAGTCTACTCAAGTTAACAGCATTACCTAAAGGGTACATTACCAGGAAAGACCTTGGGGTAGAATGAAAGAAGGACCAGACTAGGGTTCAAGTCCAGGCTCTATGTCCTAGAGCTTGCCACTGACCTGACGGGCAACTTTGTGCCAGCCACTGGCCCTCTCTGGGAATCCACTTATTCAGCTATAGCAGGAGCATAATTCTTGCCCTAGCACTCACTGAGAGTTATGTGAGTCTGATGAGCTAGTGAATTGTCAAAACGGTTTAGGAACCAGTGCCATGTCATGTAAATAGAGGGTAAGTTACTGTTCACCCATTGATCTCCCTTATCCATCAGCACTGGCAACATTTGAAAGTCAAATGCTGAAAATGAAGGTGATGGATGGAAGAGAGGAGAAGAAGGCAGGGACCACTGAAGAGAGCACTTCAAGCCTGGACAGCTGTCTTGCCTCACCTCTCTCATGTCCTTAGCAAATTGTAGGCCCATGATTTTGCCCAACCTTCTGATTTTGCCCCAGACCTTTTGTTCCCTTTCTATAAGGAATGATCCAGTATGTGTATAGAAGAGGGAAATCTCACCCCAAATAAGAAAGGACTTGGGCTGAGTCATCTTTGTTTTCTGTGCCCACCAAAGTGCCACCATGGCAGAGTATTAGAAAAGAAGTATGCAAGGGGAATAGCATTTATAAAGTGCCTAGTGTGGATTGAGTTATACATTCTCTCATTTAATTCAACAACCCATTTTAGAGATGGAAACATTGAGACTCAACAAGGTTACATGATGTGTTCCAATGTCACACACCTGTAAGTGGTGAAGTCAGATCTGACTTCCAAACATACATTTTTATCATATGGCAAATAAGAGGCAGAACTGTGGGTGCTGCTTACCTTGCAGGTTGATGTGAGGTAGATATAGTGCCTTTTCATTCCTCAGAACATGGTGAGCATTCAGCAGCTGGTGACAGCCTGGTAACAGGCTGGTGATGATGAGTCCTGTAATAACGCATCTCACAGTTGCACTAAAGTCGCCTCTCAGACCAAAAGTCTTCCCTTTTTATTTCACCCAAGAGACATGCATTAGTTTCTTGGCTCGGAAGCCCATATCTAGCTGGAAATTATTTTTCAGGACCTCCAAACTTCAGCAGAACAGCTGCCTCCCATGACCCAGAGTCATCCTAAACATAGATTGTGCTGTCATCAGCTGGGAATAGAATCCGAGTAAGAGCGTGGATTCTCTTGAGGGGTAAACATAGAACTTGATAGCAGGTGAAGCTGACGGTGCCGAGTGAGACAGTCAGGGCCAGTAGGCACCAGGCAAGTCTCTAATTGAGCGACAAGTTGGAGATAGAAACTCTACCTCTGCCTTTCTCCACTGTGGGCCAGTCCCTGGAGCCATACCCAGTTGCCAGGTCTGAGCCCATCATGCCTTGCAGATGGTCCTCCATACATTGTCTCTAATCCTCACAACAACCAGGGAAGCAAGACATTATTGTTCCCAGCCTACAGACAAGGAAACTGAGCTTTGGAAAGTTTAAGTGATTGGGCAAGTATCTTAACTGTCATTTCCTCTGTAAAAACTAGGATAATAAAAGTATCTTGTAGGGTTGATGAGAGGGTTAAGTGAAAAAATGTATTTAAACTTAGATAAAAATTTAAAAGTGACTGGCACATAGTAGATCTTCAAAAAATGGGATCTGTCGTGATTATTGTGATTTTTCCGTGTAGTAATCGTATTAGCCCATCCAGTGTGCATGGTGTGGTAGCAGTGCTTTTCAAGCTTACGTATGCATATGAATTACCTGGAGAAGTTAAAAAAGACAGGTTCTGGTCCCAAGTCCAAGAATCTAGTTTGGTAGGTCTGGGATGGAGCCTGAAAATTTGCATTTATAACAAGCTCCCAAGTAATGCTGATGCTGCTGGTCCACAGACTGCTCTTTGATAAGCTGCTTCAGTACTCCTCTCTCCATCCATTACCCCACCTGCCTCCTACTCATACCTTTCCCAGCTCTATGATGTAGGAGGAACATAGAATGCCCCTAGTGTCTATGTGAAGCCAACTTTTATTTCCCAGATTGGTGTCTAACTTGGTTCTTTAGCCTGCCAGTGAGCTGCATTTTTCCTGGGTCAGAAATTTAGTTTTCCCATGGCATGATAATTGCCTGGGATTCCTATTGATTTTCTTGCTAAGTCTCCTGGAGATTAAAGGTAACACCACAGCTTGGGCACAGACCTAGGCCTGTGGGCACATGATGCTTTTTTCCATCATAAAGCAGATTTTCAAGACTCCTGTACTGCCAAGTACTCGGAGGCAGTAGGAAAAGTGGCCTTGGATTAGTTGGGTGGCTGAGGACTCAGCTCTATGAAGAGGGACTTATTATACCTGCAGAAGGGAGAGTGAGGGTCACACAGATCATGAATTAAGCCTGAAGAGTTGCCAAGATAGAGACTGCTGAACTCTGTTAGTATAAGGGTCAATGTGAAATTCAGGGGGTGAAGGGAATGAGGCTACATGGTATCCATCAGCCAGACAGTAATGACCCTATGTATGGTCTAGACTGTCATTTTCTGCCCTAGGTGACCATGCTGTGTGTGACCATAGGCAAAGATCCTCACTGTCTCCTGATAACCCTCTCCTTAGCTCTTTCCCTTCAAGGGCCTCAGTCCCAGACCTCTTTGGATCGAGACACTGGAAAATGGTCAGGAAGTTCTAGTGCCCTTTTTGCTACTCTGTGTGACTGATTTGAAGTTGAGGTTTCTGTATTAAAATTGAAATATGATTATAGGCCATGAAGTTTGGGTTAAGGCTAAGTCCTATGGGCAGGTATGAGCTTTGAGGAGGGTATGATGTCCATTTGTTGATATTATTCCATCCCCTGGAATAGTATTCAATAAAAAATGAATTAATGGCCATTCCACACTGAATCCTCCAAAATTGGGAACTTAAAGGTGGATATTAGGCAGGGTAGGATACTCTTGTCTTTCCTGACCTCACTCCTTTGGTTTGAGACCTGATGGCATATAAATGACCCAGAAGATGGTCCCTGGTAGCCCAAGTTAAAGTGAACCCTGGATTCAAGGAGATGTTATTAAGAAGATCCCAGGCTGGGGCTAGGGAACATCTTCTTTGTCATTCCATTAATCCAGGTTTGTTCCAAGGTCTGTGTTGTTACTGGAAAACCTTTCCTAGAGCCTGATCTGAACACTGTCATCTGCTGTGTTGTAAGCCTTGAGGGATTCTTGGGTGAGTGCACTTGGCCTGGAGCCTTGAAAGTTGAGAGTGAGGCTCCCCCCCAAGGCCAGCATGATGGTAGCAAGAATCAGTGAGAGAAGTCCTAAAGCGGAAGCTGTATCTTGAAGCCAGAATCTGGTGTCACAACTGCCTTCTACCTCTCATGTGAAGGTCTCCCCTTGCTGGAAAGTAACAGTTTCCTTATAACACTCAGGAAGATAGGGGTGGGACTCAAGGGTAGGGTTCCATGTTTGCTTTCCAGGCCAGTGAGTATCCCAGTGCTTCCAAAATTGTAAATGGAGGAGACAGGCTTCATATTAAGCCCAAAGTCAGAAGGTAGAGCAGCTCCTCCCTCATTAGACTTCCCTGAACCCAATGGAGGCTGACAAAGGTCCACAGCTGCAGACAGAGTATACTTGCTCAGGAGCTGAGGCTGATCCCACCAGCCAGGGACAGATGAGTTCCAGGTTCGGGAGCTCAGGTAGATGATGTGTTTGGGCAGGGCTACTGCTTTTCATGTATCATACAAAAGTGCCTGACCAAGAGGCAAGTGGGGCCCCAAATCCACCAGCATGGAGCTCCCCAAGCCATGTACCTGTAAGGCAGCAAATGCCTTTTTTCTAATCAGTATTGGGTAGACCATTGGAAAGCCCTGGGTTTGGGTGTCTGAGAGGAGGCTAAGGATGACTTCCTGAGATCTCTGAACTGGAGAGCCCATACCTGGCATCTCTGGGAGGCACTGGGACCAAGAGCTGACTCTCCTCCTTGCCTTGTCTGAGAGAGGGTGACCTGGGCCTAGGATATGGCTGCCTTGTATCCATACCATTCTCAAAAGGGGTCTGTCTACTTGGCAGTGGGACCTCTGGCCTGTGGGTGGAGATTAGTAAAAGACTGTGTGAAAGGAACTGGCAGGACAGAAGGTAACACTTAAATGACACTTAGGAGAATGTAATTCATTTGAATAGAACCTTACAGAACAGAGCAAAATGATAGGAAATTAGGGTTATGCCGGGAATCAGAGGAAGCTTGGAGCAGCAGTAAAGGCTCTTACTCCTCTGTTTCTTTTTTAGCTCTCCTTCCTTCCCCCTTCCTTTCTTTCTTCCTTCTTTTTGTTTTGTTTTATTTAAATGAGCTGTGTGAGACCTTGAGCAATTCATTACACTTATTGAGCCTACATTTCCTCTCTGTAAAGTGGGCACAATAACACGAACCTCAGGTTGAGAGAATTCAGAGTGTCAATGTGATGCAATGGGACAGAGATGGGGAAGCTTGTCCTCTCCATCCCTGCCTTGTTCCCCTCTTGTTTACATCTCTGGGAGGTGCCAGTGGGCCTGAGGCAGTTTGCCAGAGAGTCTAGAGCCATAAGGGGTCCTTCCTGTATTCACAGAACCACGGTGACCCACAGAGGAAGCCTGGCTACTGGCAGCCAGGAGGGTTGGTACTGGTGAAGGCAGTAGCCCCCAGCATGTCCCGTCAGGCAGCCCAGTCAGTCCTCATCACTTTCCTGGGGTGGGAGTGATTACCTGCTTTGTATAAAAGAAGAAATAGAAGCTTGGACTTGCCCAGGGACCCTGTCGCAGGTCACACAGCAAGTGACGGAACCGAGGCCGCAAGCAGGTTTCCTCTCTGGAGTCAGCAGTCCACTTTTCTTACACTTTGGTAACCCCAGGAACTATCCAGGTTTGGGTTGAGAACAGTTCCCCACATACAGAATGACAGTCCTGGGTGGGGGCCAAGAGAGAAAGCTGAGGAGCAGGATCTCTGTGAATTTGCCTCACCTTCTTCTGGTCTCCTGGGCCTGACCCTTGCTCAGCGTCCTGCTGGAACAAGATCCAGCTGGTTCAAACCTTTACTGAGGCCCTGCCCAAGACAGTACATCAATGCAATTGTTTACTTTAATGTTCCCCATGGCCCTGTGAGACTGGCATCACTATCCCACATTTAGATGAGAAAAGTGAGGCTCAGGGGGTGGCAGTGATTTGCCCAAGGTCATACAAAGTCAGGCTCACCTCAGCCTGAGTGCTCTCAGACGGGGGTTTGACATGTACCCCCGTGGCACTGCCAACATTGTCCACCAGGTGGCAATCTTCCCCCAACTTGCTGTGGGCTCCAGGCAACCTGGAATCAGATGGTGGTGCCTGTGGTTGGAGATTCCAGCAGTCTCTGCCTGGTCTGAAGCACAACTTAGTAACTGTTGTTCCCAAGGGGAAACTGATGCCCTGACAAAGGCCGTGGCTTTCCAGAGAAGGATGTCCTCTGTGTGTGTGTCTAAGCACAGGATCCGCCTCAGTCCTGTTCCATTTGAGACTGATGAACCTGCTGACCTGTCTGTCATAAGCTGAGAGATGGTGGCCATGATTTCCTTGGCACCTGTCTACCCCCTGTGTTGTCAAGGCCCCCTCAGTGGTGGCAGTTGAGTTGTCCTTTGACTCTGTCAGAGGTCCAAGGCCCAGCCTCTTCTGTGGGTGGGGTCGCCCTTACCTGGTTTGAGGCCATCTGCACAGCGCGCCATATCTATTCCAACCTGTGTGCTCCTTGTGTGGACCATGGGAACTTCTGTGATCTTTTTCCACACCCGCCTATGGCAGAAAGAACGAGGAAGGGGTCCTCTGAATCCTTCCTGGAACACCTCACATTCCTTTCATCGCTGTTGGCTGGAACAGCCCCCGCTCAGTGGGGTTCCTGCCACAGGATCACTCTACCAGAAACTT